ATTTAATCTCATCCCTTATCTCAGTCAGCAGTCACCACAAACGGAAACCAATAGTTATTCCACTGCCCACTGCACATTGTTATCACATTCAACCAGACCCACTGTCATTATTTAAACATTTGTGATCATTAATTGCAGTCATTTTAGATAAATGATTTTAGATGATTTTGCAATCATTAGATAATTTACAGTTTCCCATAGACTATATAAAATACATATCCCATATAAATATAAATACACATCAAAGAGTAACATGATGTTCCTTTATTGAATAAGGATAAATCAAAGCAAGTAAACCATCAGCTCCTTTCAAAACTGAAGTCACACAGTGACTTTACAAGATAGAAAGCACGGAACCAAAGCATATTATACAACACAAGAATAAATACACATTCAAAGGTCTGTAAATGATACACCCTGCATGTCTGCATACTGAAATAAATGCAGGACAAATCCATACACAACAAATGAATGGATGAATGGATGCAGTAGCCTCCCTGTAAGCTTGTATACACACAGTATGCAGCACAAACAACATAAGAGGCCAAATCAATTTAAATTGAATTTTAAAAAAAAACAAAAAAAACAAAACAAATTCCTCTGCCAATGCAGGACATATTCAACTTAAATCATGCATGTTAACTAAAATAGTTTAACACATATTGGTCCCTGACCAGCCGACCACTGTCATCATCAGGGAAGATGGCAGGATTGTCCCAGTCCATGTGTGATGGCACTCTGGGGGCCCTCTCCTTCCTCCGGCAGGCCACATTGTGGAGGACAGCACAGGCCACAGTGATGTCACATGTCCTCAAAGGGCTGACCCTTAGGTGGCGAAGACAGTGGAAGCGTGCCTTCAGCAGGCCAAAGGTCATTTCAATCCTGGCCCTTGTCCTGGCATGGGCATGATTGTAGGCCTGCTGTGCTTCCTGAGGGTCTGTAAATGGTGTGAGGAGAAAAGGCTGGCAGGCATACCCCCTGTCCCCCAGCAACACACCAGAGAATTCACCTGTCAATACAAAATCTCATCATCACAACCTCATAAATTGAGTGACATTCTTGACACAGCCATGATGTAAAAAGTGGTTATTAACAGAGGTTGTGTGGCTCACCTTGTGACAGGCGCTCATAGATTCCAGACGTCCGAAAGACTCGGGAGTCATGGACCAAGCCAGGCCACTTTGCCACAACATTGCTGATCAGATAGTCAGCATCACAGACCAGATGCAGACTATCAAACCAATCAGTGCACATCACAAGCAATGCACAGTGTTCATTAATTGACAATATCAAAAAGTCATGTTCACCTGAACATTAATGCTGTGAAAGGATTTCCTATTCACTACCTCTTGAAGCTCATGGAGAGAATGCCAAGAGTGTGCAAAGCAGTAATCAGAGCAAAGGGTGGCTATTTTGAAGAAACTAGAATATAAAACATGTTTTCAGTTATTTCACCTTTTTTTGTTAAGTACATAACTCCACATGTGTTCATTCATAGTTTTGATGCCTTCAGTGAGAATCTACAATGTAAATAGTCTTGAAAATAAAGAAAACGCATTGAATGAGAAGGTGTATCCAAACTTTTGGCCTGTACTGTATATATATAAAATGTATATGTACATTATCGGTTATCAGTTATCGGTATCGGCCTTTAGGAGCTGAAAGTTATCGGTTATCGGTATCAGTTTAAAAGAAAAGTTATCAAGCATCCCTAGTCGTAATGAATTTCAGAACCTCATGATAGCATGTGAAGACAGTGAGCAAGGGCCATTCATAACATATCACCATGATCAATGACATATTAAAAGGTTGACTCAACCAGTCTCTGTTTGGCATAAAAAGAAAACACAAGGCTTGTTTTTGAAGAAAAAGCTTTAGCTTTTTTACAATATACTGGATAGAAGAAGTAACCTCGAGCAGTTAGGGGTTCGCTGCCTTGTACAGGGGCACCTCGGCAGTGCCCAGGAGGCAAACTGACATCTGATAGTTAAAAATAGGAGATATTAGTAGATGCCAACTCAATTTGTTGTCCACTTCTGTTAACAGTTACCTTGGACAATGCTGATCTTGCTGGTTTTGACATGGTAAAAAAACAGAAATTTAGTTTTTTTCTACATTCAGGACAAGTTGCAGCTGACAAAGCTCTTCTTGTACTCAACTGTACTATCAAATGCAAACTGAATATCTTCAAAAGCCTTTGCAGGAGTGGGTGCAAAGCATTTTACTGTAGACAGCTTTCATTCACTTCCATTCTCTTTTCAACACATAAGGGAATTGATGATCAGCTTTTCTTTGAATGTCAGTTTTTGTTTTCTCTTTATGTTTTGTTTGTTGTGCATTTAAAAAAAATCTGTTACTGTCTGCAGCTTTGGTAAAACAGCCTAAAAGGGATCAATTAGTAAACTCTTCAAGAAAACGGTTTATTTTCTGTTGTATTGATGCTAGTCTGTCTCTCTACCTTTCTTGCTGTAGTTTTGAGCAGGAGGTTCTTGGTGGTCCTGTACCAGTGTCAGGAAGCCCACCTGTTATGGAGACAGTACCTGTAGCTCTTTCTGTCCCTGCAATTCCAGTAGTGCGACCCATTATAGGTACCAACACCTACAGACAGGTTTGTACTCTTCTAGTCCTATCTGGATAGTAATGTACAAATACTAACTATTACTAATACTAACAAATGTGTGTCTTTGTCTTGATAGCAAAATACTCTAAAATAGACGTACTGATGGAGGAAATAATTTGAAATAATTTTTCTATTGTTTGTTTTCACTAGTCACCCATTTGCCTCTTCTCTTTTTCTCTCTCTTAGGTCCAGCAGACATTAGAAGCCAGAGCTGCTAGTTTTGTTGGTCCTCCACCACCTGTCTTTGCAGGACCAGGTGAACATTTATTACTCTCACACACATTCACTAAATAGGGTAATCTACTTAACCCTATGGGCCCTAGGCGTTTTTGGGGTATTTTTACTGCCTTTACTTCTAAGCTCATATCACAGGACATCAGGACAATCTGGGCTAACCAGATTTGCCATCATTACATGTCCTTCTATGTGCCTGTATTTTATATTAATTTTTATATCAATGAAAAAAACAAATCCGTGTGACTAAATTCTTACATTTTTATATGTATCTCAGCATAGCAAGTTGGAAAAAGACATATTCTGCCATATATGAAGAGGGGAGACTCTCTGGAATCTGGCAATATAAGAACCATGATGCTGGGACATTCTGTCACTTCACAGTTGTCCAAAACATGTGGTTTGTGCCAGACGGACATGATTGCCAGTATTTTTTCATTATTGCAAGAAATTCCATTGACTCATTCACAAGTCAAAAATGTGTTTTATCTGAAAGAAACATGCAATATTTACATCTAAGATCATAGAAAAATAGTCAACCAAGTGCAATGATGTCCTCCAAGATAATATTTGCCACTTTGTTTGCAGTAAACAAAGTTTGTTGTTGTTTCTCAGTTTCAGTTATATATTGGGGGGCATTTTGGGCATTGGGGGGAACACATGTCCCCCTCAGTGTATATGGTGACTACGGCCCTGTCATGCATGCATAATTAGGCTGCAGTTGTCTGGGTGCGCAAAGGTGAAGTGGCTGGTCTTGTCATGCAAAGTTTGATGGATTGTCAACTGGACAATATGGAGATATTTGCATCTTGAAAGCCGGACTACAAATGTGGATAGACAGGGAGAAACACACGCAAGCCTAAGACGTGGTAAGATACGATATTCCTCACTATATGAAGTGACTGATAACAAGATCTGTATAATGGATTGTAAAGAAATTCGGATGGGATAACAGTAGAATGATGTGTGTGGTATCATTGGAAAGCTCTGCTCCTGCGCTTTCATGTGATATGCGTGGCATTTCTGTGCGAGCCTGCATTCGCGAGAAATCCATCCAAGAGTAATGTGTGTGCAAAGCTGTATGAAAGCTCTGTTATACATAATTTTAGTGTAATTTTATCATTTTTTTTCGCTGTGAAAACATTGGACTACCGACAAGTGCTTGGTCTTCTCGGAAAGCTACAATTCCGCTGTTTCACGTGATATGCGTGGCTTCTCGCTATGACGCACGGTCACGGAGAAAATCCACAGAGAAGAACGGGTGTGAATTTGGACGCACTATGCGTCGTTCGGGCTCATAGGGTTAAAGCTCCAGTGTGTATGATTTAGGAGGATATATTGGCAGAAATTGAAGATAATAAAATAAGTATGTTTTCTTCAGTGTTTAATCACCAGAAAATAAGAATCATCGCGTTTTTGTTACCTTAGAATGAGCCGTTTATATCTACAATGGGAGCAGGTCCTCATCTATGGAGTTTGCCACGTTGTACCACCATGTTTCTACAGTATCCCAGAATGGACAAACCAAACATTGGCTCTAGATAGGGTCATTTGCATTTTCGTGTCAGCCACATGAATGTAAAACTGCTTTTTTAGGGTTTTTAACGGTTTAAAACCACGGGATTCATTTGTTTCAGAGAGAAAGAGACCTCTGCAGCTAATTTGGCATCTGGGTCCGTATTCACAAACAGTGGCGTAAGGTAGTTACAATAGGCCCCAGTGCACGCTATTATGAGGGGCCCTATTACGCCCTAGTTACAAGTTATGAAGCGCACACACACACACAGTTTTAGGTGTGTATATATATTTTAGCAACAGTGTGTCTTACTGCCACTTTTACGTTACATCCACTTGCAGATACTCGAAATTAGACACATTAACATCCATATTACACAGCAAGAATTACATATCTGTATAAGACAAATCTACAAAAGAAAATGGGAAATTATCAATTTAACTTGATAGTTTTTTTTATTGGTAAATTATAGATTTTAAATAGTTTATGTAGAATAAATTCATAATTTTTTATAGACTGACACTGTTTGACAAAACCAGAAAACCATGATGGATATGGGTTTGCTTTATTTAGGGCATGTATGGAAAATAGCACTTCTTTGAACACGGGCGTATTTCTAAGTGTCAGTTTCCAGTGGCGGTCTCTAAACACAAAATGACAGTGTGTAAATTAAATGCTACAGATGAGACTGTGCAGGGATAATGTTTGTGGTCGATCTCATTTGGGATATGCACACATTTCCCACCTAACAAAATAATGCTATAATGCCAGAAATAAAATGATCACAATACTAAGATCTCGTCTCGTCTCGTCTCGTCTCGTCTCGTCGTCCTCCGCTTATCTGGGTCCGGGTCGCGGGGGCAGCAGCCTCAGCAAAGAAGCCCAGACAGTCCTCTCCCCAGCCACTTCCTTCAGCTCTTCCACGGGAACCCCGAGGCGTTCCCAGGCCAGCCGGGTGATGTAGTCCCTCCAGTGTGTCCTGGGGCGGCCCCGAGGTCTCCTCCCGGTTGGACATGCCCGAAATACCTCCCAAGGGAGGCGTCTGGGAGGCATCCTTACCAGATGCCCGAACCACCTCAACTGGCTCCTCTCGATGTGGAGGAGCAGCGGCTCTGCTCTGAGTCCCTCCCGGATGTCTGAGCTCCTCACCCTATCTCTAAGGCTGAGCCCAGCCACCCTGCGGAGGAAACTCATTTCGGCCGCTTGTACTCGCGATCTCATTCTTTCAGTCACTACCCAGAGCTCGTGACCATGGGTGAGGGTTGGAACGTAGATCGACCGGTAAATTGAGAGCTTCGCTTTCTGGCTAAGCTCCCTCTTCACCACAACGGACCGGTTAAGCGCCTGCATCACTGCTGATGCCGCCCCAATCCGCCTGTCAATCTCCCGCTCCATCCTACCCTCACTCGTGAACAAGATCCCGAGATACTTAAACTCCTCCACCTGAGGAAGGACCTCCCCCCTGACCTGGAGTGGGCAATCCACCCTTTTCCGGCTGAGGACCATGGCCTCAGACTTGGAGGTGCTGATTCTCATCCCAGCCGCTTCACACTCGGCTGCGAACCGTCCCAGCGAGAGCTGGAGGTCACTGTTCGATGGAGCTAGGACGACCACGTCATCCGCAAAAAGCAGGGACGAGATCCTCCCATCACCGAACCTGACACCCTCCACCACACGGCTGCGCCTAGAAATTCTGTCCATAAAAGTTATGAACAGAACCGGTGACAAAGGGCAGCCCTGGTGGAGTCCAGCCCTCACCGGGAACAGGTCCGACTTACTGCCAGCCACGCGAACCAGACTCATGCTCCTTCGGTACAGGGACTGGATGGCCCTTAGAAAGGGGCCACCAACCCCATACTCCCGGAGCACCCCCCACAGGATGCCCCTGGGGACACAGTCGTAAGCCTTCTCCAAATCCACAAAACACATGTGGACTGGTTGGGCAAACTCCCATGAACCCTCCAGCACCCTGGCGAGGGTAAAGAGCTGGTCCACGGTTCCGCGTCCGGGATGAAAACCACATTGCTCCTCCTCAATCTGAGGTTCAACTATCGATCGGACCCTCTTCTCCAGCACCCTGGAGTAGACCTTACTGGGTAGGCTGAGGAGTGTGATTCCCCTGTAGTTGGAACACACCCTTTGGTCCCCTTTCTTGAAAATGGGGACCACCACCCCGGTCTGCCACTCCAGAGGCACTGCCCCTGATGTCCACGCAATGTTGCAGAGGCGTGTCAGCCAGGACAGCCCTACAACATCCAGAGCCTTGAGATATCCAGGACGAATCTCATCCACCCCCGGGGCTCCGCCGCCTTGAAGTTGTTTCACTACCTCAGCAACTTCTGCCCCAGAAATTGGACGACCCGCCCCCAAGACCCCCATCTCTGTTTCCTCACTGGAATACGTGTTGTTGGGATTGAGGAGCTCCTCAAAGTATTCCTTCCACCGCCCGACAATGTCCCCAGTTGACGTCAGCAGCTCCCCGCCCCCACTGTAAACAGTGTGAGCAAGTTCCCCCCCTGAGGCGCCAGACGGTTTGCCAGAACCTCTTTGGAGCCGATCGATAGTCTTCCTCCATGGCCTCTCCGAACTCCTCCCACGCCCGAGTTTTTGCCTCCATGACTGCCGCCGCTGCGCTCCGCTTGGCCTGCCGGTACCCATCAGCTGCTTCCGGAGACCCACAGACCAACCATGCCCTGTAGGTCTCCTTCTTCAGCCTTACCGCCACGACTGGCCCCAGCGGCCTTGCGGCCACAGCTCGCAACCGCCGCCTCGACAATGGCAGAGTGGAACAAGGCCCATTTGGACTCAATGTCCCCCTCTGCCCTCGGGATGCGGTCGAAGCTCTCCCAGAGGTGGGAGTTGAAGATCATCTGGACAGGTTCTTCCGCCAGGCGTTCCCAGCAGACCTTCACTGTTCGTTTGGGCCTGCCAGGTCTGTGCGGCGTCTTCCCCCACCATCTGACCCAACTCACCACCAGGTGTTGATCAGTTGAACCGTTCTTCGTCTGACCCTTCGCCCAGAACCAATCTGCCGTGGGAAACCCTAGCAGGGGCAAAATGCCCCTGCTACTTAGATATTTGGAAAAACTGGAAAAATGCAGCAGTGCAGCAGTGATGACTTTGGTCTGTCTCAACCTTAGATCAGCAGAGTGATCACACTAACAATGACAAAACTGTCTCATCTTGTGATGCAGTTCATTTCCACTGGGTGTCCACACATTGCAGGCCCACAAAAGGACATGTCTGTGACAATCAATCACATCTGTTCAAAGAAAGCATCACACCTAGCAACAGGGTCAACCACACATCCTCAGTAAGATAAAAGTTTCTGTCCCTTCCTTGCTCAGAGTTGCTCTTAAAACTTCCCTAAGTCACTCCTAAGATAAGACTCCTTACTAAAAGTTTTTAGTCTAAGTTAGGAGGTCTCTTAGAGTACTCTCAGAATGTTTGTGAATATGGCCCCTGGATCTTAAGTCATCAGAAAAAAAGATGAGCACACATTAGCA